ACAAGACTTGGTGAAAGTATTTGAAAATTATAGACCTGATAAAGGATTTATACCACAAAAATCTAAAGAACTCCCAAAATTCATCAGTCAGAAAACAACTAAATTTTTAAAACTAGGTAAAAGACTAGAAGATTCACTTCAAGTTGACAAATAGGAATCTGTAAAGATATCACTAGTCATTAGGGAAATGCAAATGAAAATCACAGTGTTCTTATCTTCATCTTTTAATTACGGTCCCTCTGCCATAACATGTGTTTTGAAAATGCAAATTTGTCCCAGCTAGATTGAATTTCAGGGAACAACGTGTGAACCTGGTGCAAATTTTGCTTTGCTTCCATGTGATTCCTTCACAGGAAACAGAAGAAGGTGAGCACAAAACTGCACCTGGCTGATGGGAGCTACGTCTAAGGATCAGCATATCCACAATCACACATCCCCCCTTCACAGGGGCGAGAAGCCTGGGCCGTCCGCATTCGATGTTAGGGCTTTCCATGTGATTTTTTTAGTTTGTCCCAGTTATACTTAAAAGAACTGACAAACTGTCCACCCTCCTTAGCCTCCCTCTTTCCTGGCCAGTCCCTTCTCTCACTCACTTCTCCATTTCCCTTCTGTCTTCCTCCTCTCACATACAGAGTGGCAGGTGTGGAAACCAGGTCTCACTCCACAAACAAACTTCAAGTCACTCCCAGGAAAAAAGAGTCCTATTTCCTGTCATCTTTCTAGAGCCCTCAACATGTACCCAGCATGTGTAACTACCGTGTTTATTCGTTTACTTCTTTTCAAAGTCTGTTAGTGATGAATTGTTGACTGTTGTGTTTCTAACCCCGACTTCTCCTGAACCCTGTGGTGTTTACCATGTGATTTTATAGGTAGGTGATTCTGTAGCAGGAAATATCCCCCTCAGAACGAACTGTATAAATACATAGAACAAAGACATAGGTACCTAAGTGCATGCCTTCTCTGGGAATAATGGGAGACAGAAAAAAGTATTCTCTCTGGCTTCCTCATAGGAAAGGAAGACATGTGAGGGATATCTTAGTGTGAGGGATATTTGAGGAAGGCAATGTTTAACCTGGGGGGGTTTCTGAGGTTTAGACTGCAGGAGTTGGACTGCCAACCCAAATGCCAACCGTCTCAGGCAGTTCGGATGTACCAGCTGCTTCCAGAGGAAGGATGTGGACAGTCTCCTTCCATGCAATTTACAGCTTTAGAAACCCGCTGGAAGGGCAGCTATGAATTGGTTCTAACTCCACAGCAATGATATCAGGGTTGGGGTAAGACTGAGAAAAACTGGATAAATTGTGTATACTGCACTGAAACAGATGAGGGAGTGAATAATTTAAACGCGATGTATGATAGGGTTTTATGGTTATCACAAGGGTCCACAATTAAGGTTGCATAGTGGAATGTAGTTGGGGCAGTGGGAGGGGTGCGGGGGGATTGTGTACCAGGGAGGGAGTCTTTCTTTTACTTTTGAAAGAGAGGAGCGAACTGGGGGGCGGGGGGAGAGGGCTGGGCGGGTAGAGAAGTGCAGCAATGAATGAATGGAAATCCAAATTCTCTGTAAATGTTCATTAAAATTATTTAAAAAAAAGAATAAAGAAAAATTCATCAATAATTTTAAAAAAATGAGTGCTGTAACTGGGAATTCCACAGTACCAAAAAAAAAAGTATTCCTTATTCGATTTCCATCTTCCTAAACATGGACATGCATGGAGGAACTATCCAATCGTCCTTAATCCCTCTCATCTGTGTGTTTGCGGTTTTTTTTTTCTCTCACAAAGAGAGAATGAGTCTCTCTGCTCAACTCCTTCAGCCTGTAACCATCTTATCATGCCCTGTGATAAAGGACTGTGATGACAAAAACGTCCTGTTCAGACAAAAACCTTCAAGTTAAAGAGTCAGTATTAAACAAGGGAAGAAAGAATGCAAGTATCCTGTAGGCAAAGTTTGGGAGCCAGAACACAGAGGACTAGGGTCTGGTTCACAGGCAGCTGGCTGGGGCATCATCTGTGGATGAGGGAGGCATCTGCAGGGGCTGCTCCTGGTGGCACCTCCCCACATCACACCATGTGTCTCCTTTTGCGGTCCATCCTCCACAGTGCTCTTGGCCTTGGAATTGCCCTTATTTGTCCTAACTGGGTCCCTCCTTAGCAAATATTGAGGCAAAGGGAAGGTACACAGAAGGCCTAGCTCTCGCCCTTGCTGCCCTCCTCCGCCTCCCTCCCCCTGTGCCAGGCCTGGCGCACACTCCCGGCTCTGCCTGCCAAGACTTCACTGGCAGAAAAGACAAACCCAAGACAGTCACGTCTTCCGTCGCCAGAGAACAGCTGCTCAGCTTCAGAGCCTGCAGGGACGTCGAAAGTGTTAGTGCTTCCAGAAGCTGCTCCAGGTTGCCACCAACACATTTATTCCAAGAAAGGTCGAGTATTTCCAGAGCAGGGAGGTACACGGAGGCTTCAGCTAAAAGCAATAAAGAACAACAAGCATTTCAATTTTGAGATACTCAGTTTTGAGAGGTCACGGGCCTTCATTTTGAAGAACTGAAGTCGAAGCAGCATAATTGGAATGAAAAAGGTTATAAATACTGCTTTCTCCTTCCTGAAAGTCAGGGCATCCATTGATGGTGTGTGAATGGGACCCCAAGGAGCTCTGGTGGCATAAGGGTAAGAGTCTGCAGTGCAATCCCGAAGGCACGCATTTTAAACCCACCAGAGCCTCCTCCAGAAAAGGAGGGGCTGTCTCCTCCCAGGTGATTAAACAGCCTCTGAGAAAACAACTATGAGATATCATCTCACCGCAGAAAGAACAGAAAAATTCAACAGAGCAGCAAACAACAAATGCTGGCGAGATTGTGGAGAAACCGGAACCCTTACTCACTGTTGTTGGGAGTGTAAAATGGTGCAACCACTATGGAAGGCGGTATGGCGCTTTCACAAAAAGTTGGAAATATAGATACCATTTGACCCAGTAATTTCACTACTGGGAATATACCCCAGAGAAACCATAACCGGCACCCAAGCAACTATATGCACACCCATGTTTACCGTGACTTTGTTCACAATAGCAAGGAGTTGGGAACAACCTAAGTGCCCATCAACAAACGAATGGATAGAGAAGCTGTGATATATTCACACAATGGAATACTTATTATGCAGCACTGAAAAGCAAGGAACTCATGAAATATTATGCAAAATGAGTGACTCTGGAGGACATTATGCTGAGTGAAAGATCTCAGTCACAAAAGGACAAATACTGCATAGTGCCACTGTTATAAAATGAGATTGACATAAGGGTTGGGGGGAAACTAAGAGGAATACAAAATATACACTGCATTGAAACAGATGAGGGAAAGAAATGTTTAAAAGGAATATATGATTAGGTATTATTTTCATGACTAGAGTCCAGAATAAGAGCTGCATAGTAAAGTGGACTGGGGCGGGAGAGGGGGAGGGAAGGACTGTATAACAATGAAAGATACTATATCAATCCATCTCATTGAGGATCTTCTTCTCCTTCAATGACCCTCCACCTTTCCAAGCACGATGTCCCTTTCCAAGGAATAGCCTCTCCTAACATCATGTCCAAAATATGTGAGATGAAGCTTTTCCGTCTTTCTCCATGGAACACTCTGGCTACGCTTGCTCCAGGACATAGCTGGTTGGTTTTTGGCAATCTGTGAGGTGTTCAGCACTCTTCTCCAACACCACAACTCAAATGTATCCATTCTTCCTCTGTCATCCTTTTCGTCCAGCACCTAGATGTATAACACGTGATTTGATAGACTGTGACTTGAATCAGGCACACCTTAGTCTATAAACTGACATCCTTTCTCTTCAGGACTTTGGAGAGATCCCTGACATCAGATTTACCCAGTGCTACACATCTCCTGATCTCCTGACTGCTGGTACCAAGGGTGTTGACTGTGGCCCCAAGCAAGATGAAATCATTGACAGTTTCGATCTCTTCTCCATCTGCCATAATGCTGCCTATTGGTACAGTGATGAGGCTTTTTGTTTTCTTGATGGCGGTAAATCATGTCAGAGAGGATTTCCCATCTTTCTCTCATGGAGCAGCTGGTGGATTCAGATGGTATTCCTTTAGGATTGCAGCCTCTTACCACTAGACCACAAGAGCTCCCTTTGGAATCCTCAGGGAAATAAAATTTAAGTGGAATTCACTGTCAACTGAAGTCACGTTCCTTCACATTTAGGAAGGCAAAAAAGGTAAAAGGCTTGAGATTGCTCGTCAAGATTTCCAGAGCACTTCCTGGCTGGTATACGGCCCACTGAAACTCAGAGGTAGGACCAGTCTCCCAGGACCCTGAAGCACCAAAACATATTTGTGTTTACTTAGGTGCAGTTACTAAGGCAACGGGCAGAATTAATGCGTTTGACACGTTTCAAATTTAAAGCTCTTCTTAATTCTTCGTTGTCCCTAAAGTTAGAATTAGCCATACTATCTTGTTCCCAAGCACAATGGCTAATCTTTTCAATTCTTCTGCCTCCTTGTTCTGTGTTCAAAGGGCAAAAAAGGAATTCTTTAACAGCATCTGATAAGAAAGTCCCTCCCACTCATGTGATACAAAGACCTGCCAATAAGAAGAAAGAGAACTTCCAAAATTTTCTTTCAGAATATTTATTTGATTTAATTCACAATAAAAATTGAGTGGTAGGTGTACACCAGGTGGTGCAATTTAATACAGTAGCTGCTTGATATGATTCCTTGATTGGGGAAAAAAAAACAGCTGTATTTGGAACATGTTCTTTTGTTTTTCTGACTAGAAAACATATTTTTGAAACATCATGTTGTCCCCCAAATTTCTTCTTTGTGAAAATTTGCTAAGGGATGATGAGTTTCAGTGTGTGTGATGTGTGTGTGTGTGTGTGTGTGTGTGTGTGTGTGTGCGCGTGTGTCTGTGTGAGAGAGAGAGAGAGAGAGAGTGAACTGGACCATTTCGGGGGATTACAGACCCTTACAAAAAGTTATTTACTTACTTAACTACTTTCTTGACTAATAGGGATAATATCTACACTTTGCTCTGGATATGCATGCGGACAACCACAATTTCTGACCTCAAGCAGTCACAGTCTGGGGGAAAGATGACATTAAATAAGCAGACAAATAAATATGTAATTCTAAATGCTGATAATGACCATAAGAATAAAAACACAAGGACTCCTAATTTAGATCAGGAGGGGCTGCCTCAGGAAGGGACACGTTCCCGCAGGCTGAGTAAGAGCTAACTGGAAAAGAATGAGTTGTTAGATTCTGTCATGTTTGACAGGACTCAGTGACCCGATAAACAATTGATCTGAACCTTGCCCTAGCCCGCGCCTTCATCAAGATCTCTGCCACACTCAAGCTCATTGCTAAAGTCACTGTGTCAACCCATCTCCATGAGGCTCTTCCTCTCCTTCTCAGACCCTCCACCATTCCCAGTGAATTGTCTTTCTCCAAGAATTGGTCCTCCTGACAACATGCCTGAAGTATGTGAGATGAAGTTTCATCATCCTTGCCTCTAAAAAGCTCTCTGGTTGCACTTACCCCAAGACAGAGTTATCTGTAGGACACCCAGCAAACAGGAAGTCCTCGAGGCAAAAGGGGGTTTGGTGACATGAGGAAACAGGAAGAAGCCCATGGAGGCTGGGTTCAGGCAGCAATGAGGAGAAAGAGGCTGGGTGGCAACAGGGCACATCATCCGAGCCTTGTAGGCTACATAAAGAAATTAGATTTTCACCTATGTTTATTGCGTTTTGTTCACAATAGCAAAGAGTTGGAAACAACCCAAGTGCCCATCAACAAATGAATGAATAGAGAAGCTGTGGTATATTCACACCATGGAATACTATACCGCATTGAAAAACAAGGAACTCATGCAATATTTCACAAAATGGGTGACCCTGGAGGATATTATGCTGAGTGAAGTATCTTAGTCACAAAAGGACAAATACTGCATAGTGCCACTGTTGTAAAACAGGACTGATATCGGAGCTGGGGGAAGACTGAGAAAGATGGGATAAATAACATATCCTGCATTGAAACAGATGAGGGAGAAAACTGTTTAAAAGGGATAT